ACAGACGGGTCCAAACATTGCAGAATAATAGCTAATGGCTTCAAGTTTGCATATACACTAGATTTTTTTTCCATCTGTATCTTCTTTCAGAGAATTAGTAAGTACCATATTTTTCTCATTTGTTGTCTTCTTTTCCATGAAATGCTGTGTTTCATAACATTTGAAATGCTGGTGAAATGTATTTCCAGTTCTTAAGGAGGCCCAAGTATGAAATTAACTCCACTGGTGGTTTTGCATAAGGAAAAGATTAATAGGAATAGCAGTATTTGACACTTAGGTCTTAAGAAACAGTGTAAATAGTTTTCACTTTTATAATCTTTGAATCCCACAGACAGACTGTAGTCATGAATTGAATCCTTTCTAAAGGCTTTTCAGTTCACTTTTGCAATCTAACTGGAATCTAGGATACTCCACATGAAGTCCACGTGTACCTATTGCACACATCAGTTGTACCAAGGCACACATGCAAACAAAACTAAATCAGTAAGTAGTGAACTATTGGATGGAAGAATCCAAGATTTACACAAGTGAGAGCAGAATCAGACCTATCATATCTGAGACAGACATGATTGTCAGCAATAAAATGTCAAATATTTTCAACTGCATGTGCTTGCAGGTAGGTTCAATGACTGTCACTTGTATCTTGCAGGGATAGTTTTTCTTCTCATAGTAACACAATATTTTCTACTGGACTTTACCTAGTAGGTCACGAAATCCTTTGCAGTTGTATGGAATGTTAAATCTACAGAACTAGACAGTTTCATACAGACTGGCTCTGAAACTTTAATCTTGTTTTCTAGGTATAAACACTTCTGATAATAAGAGAAATGTGAACGGCAGTGTATGATCCCAAACAATAATTTATACTGAATTAAAACATTAGCTTCACCCCTTAGACACAAGACACAATTTATTGCCTTATCATATAATTGGAACAATAGAGCATGCAATTTGTTTATGCACCACTGACCTCTAAAGAGCTCATTGATATTGTGGATCCAGTTTCACTTCTTGATAATCCTGCATTGTCATCCAGCTCCGAGGCAATGAAGTTCTTCACTGCTGTGCGGGGCTCAAATGGTAAATTCTGCATATGTTCTTGGGTGGGAAGATGCTGGTCTAAATTGATATTAAATTGGTCCATTACGGAGGGATTCATATTGAACTCTGGATTAACTTTGTAGTGCAACAGCCTTTCATGAGGCAATGTATCCATGCCTATATTCATTTTGCTTTCATCTTTCAGTGATGGCTGGGTATTTACTGAGCCCCGGGGCATGACTATATAGTCGCTTTCTATCATGCGTTCTTGAGGATGGACTATGTCCATATCTGCACCTCTCAAATTATCATCAGTGCATAAATACACAGTCCTCCGCAACTCACTGTTGTCTTTTTTCAAGCACTGATTGGCCAGTTCACTCATACTCATAGGCATGTGGAGACCTGTTGGTTGTTGGATGATGACTTTGGAGATGATGTTTCCGGGCAAGGTAGAATAACTCATTCCTTCAGGGTTTGGTCCCTTCTCCTCCTCTTCATCATTTAGTGAAATTCTAGAAAGTGTTCCTGTTATAGTAGCTGCTCTGCAAGGTCCAATGTCTTTATGCAGAACTGTGGGTCAGAGAACGGAATTCTTACAACATGAAACCATGACTACCTAACACTGCTTTTTCTTGTGGCTTTATTTAGCAGCACTCCCTTTACCATTTCATCTCTTGACTCTTTTTCTATCCATTTAATAACTTTTATTCTATAAATATTTTTTTGGGAAGGTTTGGAGGTTTTTTTTACAATCAACGTCTCTTAATCTACAGTGTATAACTGACAGAGATCTCTGACTAAGCTTCAGTCATTTATGTAGATTAAAACCACTCCTTCATTTATTCCTACTGCCTTACATAGATCTTAGGTGACCTACAGCTTAAGCAAAAAGCTTGCCACATGGAAGTTGATTAAGGGTTTTCCAAAAAAATACAGTATGACATCTGTACTGCCATTATTAACTCCAGATAACCTCCTGGAAAATGTCAAACAGATTGTAAGGCAGAATCATTTTGTCAACCCATTGTAATGACCTACCATAAGATTATAACTATGAACAAGTGTTCCTGAGCTCCTAAATGTTCCTTTTCACTGACTTTTTTAAACTCTTCTGTGTTAGATTATTTTTGAAATAAAAGTGACAAAAAAGTGACCACATTGGGAAGAAACTCCATTGGTATCAGAAAGATGTATTTCGGTGCATCTGAAAAGGTTATAAAGAATATAGACGTCTCATAAAACAGTCACAATCCACTTTTGGTGTAGCTAGACTTCCTGATTGAACTCGTAGCAACACCGAGCAATTTTTTGTTGGGGTAAGCTCCATGTAAAGGTTATTAATACTGTCATAGAATACAAAATTTGCAGGAACACTGAAGGATGCATTCAAAAGCAAAGCATCTATTCAACCACAATTATTGATCTTAGAAAATAAATATGTCTATAATTCAACATTTGTAATGAAAGAAAAAGAATAAATAGTAAGGAAAAAAAAAAATAAAGTAACTCATCACTGGGCTTATTCCAGCTGGATGCAAGGATTTTCTTGTCCCAGCTGAAAATATTTTAATCCACATCAGTGCTAGTTTGTACAATAAAGTCCAGCTCATGGGCTGAGACAGTAAGACAACTTGAAGTATCTCAGGTGTTACATTTAAATCCCTTCTGGTAGCCTGAGGGCTCTGGTGACCCAGATCCCCAGGTCCCTGTCAGTTCACTGTCATGTTCTATAGCAAGCAGCTCATAAGGCATCCTACTCTCCTATCTCACTCAAAATTGCCTCTCATTTTTTCCATTATGAAAAGAACAATTTGCCTCTAAACAACAGTGCACAAATACCCAACTTCAGTGTGGCTGCTTCATTGTTTCCAGTCAAGCTTGTTAAGACACTTCAACCAGTGACCTATTCTTAAATTTTTCATTAAAAGAAACTGAGTTTAAATGTTTATCTAGTAAAGCATGTTCATAACTGTATTCAAAGTCCATCTCCTTAAGGATGCCCCTAACAAAGCTCTCCATAGTGCAGATTTATGTTGGCAAAGGTAAGAAGTAGGAGCTACATGGACCAATGCTGGACTTTTGTCTGCATTGGATGGTGACAGGTGTGCATTTGTGTTACAATGTACTATCCTGCTCCCTTCAAAATACATGTGCATATTAAAACAAATCTATATGCAAGAACTATTACCATATTGCAAGCAACCGAACTGGCAGTTTTTTAAAGGTGGGTGACTGGAAACTTAAACTTTACCTTAATTAGATCAGCCTTCTTGGCTCCCCATATAGCCAGCGAAGGGAGACAGGGTCCTTCAGGTGGGTGATGCAGAACAGCTAAGTCAGGCTTCTGCCCTGACTACCCTGTGGAGAGGACTCCCTCTCTCTCTTTCTTTCTGTCTTGATTGAAACCTGAGGGTGTCTAGGCAGGATTGCCTCTCTAGGAAAAACTGTCCTTTAGGAATATCTCCAAGATTTAAGAATTTCTATAGGGTTTAAATGGTCATTTATTTACACTGTACTTTATTTAAGCAAGGTTGACAAATAGATTGGTTAAGATGTGTTATTTTTAATATGCAGAAACAGGCATAGCTGACTAATTAAAGATCACACTACGGAAATGTCTTAAAAAAACCCAACTTGTTCCAGTAAAGTGGAATCAAATATCATTTTCCTGATAGCATGTTGCTTAAGCTACTGTTGATTTCACTTAGAGTCCTAAAAAACTTACCCTCTTTAATACTAATTGATGCATCCTTCATATACATAGCTATTAAGATACACTATATATTTTTTTTTTTAAATAGCAAAATGACTGTTTCACATTTGCTTGTGTACCAGGGCAAGGAAAGTTTTGTGTGTTAAGACTGATCTTCTTTCCAAAACCATTTGCCTTCTAATAGACAATCACACCTTTGGCTGCTTCCCAACTGCTGAATTCTAGTAAAAGGCTTTTGTAAGAAAATGACATAATGTATTCATACAGTGGCATCACTTTTTTGTTTACATTTATAAATATGTGCTGTAAACAATTAAACCCTGATACTTTTCTGGTCTTCACTTCACAAGGAACTAGTATAAGACTTCTTTTTGTTGACTAAATACTGTCTCAAAGTTCTTACCTGACCGACAAGCAATGTCCACGTCCTTTTCAAAATCAGTCTGCAACAAGAACCAACGAAACAGGACAACCATTATTAATTGAAAACTAAACCACAATACTTTTTTGCCAACTAGCGCTTCCAAAATGTCCTACTTACAGAGTCATAGTCTCTTAAAAGTGGTTTCTTGTTGCTGAGAAGGTGAAGTGTATTGTTTTACAACAGCAGAGCTTTACAAAGTTTCCTAAAGTATAACTGGGTGGTTTTCAAAGTATGCTGCCTGACCAGAAAAAATAAAATAAAATAGGTGGAAGTAGAGTATATAATTTTAATAAAACGATACAGTGTATAGTTTTTTATGTATATGGAAGAGTAACTTCTACATCTCATCGAAGGATCATCTTTAAGGAAGCTTTTCATAGTAATTTTATAAACAGAAGTATGGAAAATAGCCTGCAATACAAATTACTGTGAATAAGTGTAATCTAATTAGTCCACCCTGTCTGAAATGTCATTAATTTGTTATGAAGTTGTTATTTGTTATACAACATTCTGTCCATCCTTGCTACTAATGTGATCACATAAACTTTCCACTCCCTGAAAACAACTGCTATTTATTTCATTGGGCAAAAACAAATTGTAAGAGCTAAGAATGAATTTTAGCAGTTGAAAATCCAAACACACTTTTCCTAGTTATATGAAACTATTTATCCTGTTAGAGAATTCAAGTAATTTTTAATTATGTTTTTATTTCCACAAAAAGTTTATTACATGAAAAATGTTTAATAAAACTGATCTCTTTCTTGCTCGTGAAGTCCAAACAGTGGATTCTTTTTGAGTTGTCATTTTTAAAGGGCATCTGCTTGCTGAGCTTTGCATTTTTTTTATGGCCTGATCCTGTCCCCATTATAGTCAATGACAAACTGTTGCTGAATGTGAAGGGACCAATATTTTGTCTTAATATACTACCTAACAATATTAGTAAATCCAAATTGGCATACTGAGCCATTCACTATCTCCTTAATTTGAGCTACTACATAGATACCCCCTCTAGAATCTCTAACACTTTCTTCTTGTCTGACTTAGTTTGAGAGGAATGTTTTTCAAGGCCTCATGAAGGGAATACTCTCAAATACATCAGTGCTCTTCAAACCACCAGTAAAAAAAGTCACGATATATTATTAGCTTACTTTCTCCTTGTCTTATGTAAGAATTGTTTGTCATAAAGAACACTGGTGGAAGATACTAATTCACTGTGCTCCACTAAATGATCACACAAATAATTTAAATCTTGCTAAGAGATTTAAGCAATCAGATAATGACCTAAACAGACTTATACTTAAAATGGTGTTAATATTTCAGCTGTGCATACTTGCCATGTACAATACTGTAAGCTTTTTCTTTTGGATAGGAACATTAAATTAATAGCCAAAGAAGAAAATAAAAGCTAACCATGATTTGAGCATGTCCATTAGGAAAAGAACTCGAAGAATCTGCATTGATTGGATCCTGGCAATTTCTCAGTCGACATCTAAATGCATCTTGAACCTGTGAAAACAATATCTTATACTGATTCTTGTGCAACATCATACATTCTACTCCTATTAAAGATTAAATTAAATTGTATGGGATATAATGCATGACTTTTCTTTAGCATATTTAATAAATCAGAAGCAGTAAACATAAATGCTTATTTCTCCCATTTCATACATTTGCTATATTTTGTGGCTGCTACAAAGTCTGTCAGTCTATCACATCAAGACCACAGAATTAGGTTTGCCGATGGACAGAATTAACCAGTAGTCAGTGATAATCTGGTACTCAAGCCAAGTCTGTCTTGGATTTTGTGTTTGGCTTTGTCTTCTCATTCAGTTTGGTACAGGTCTGATAGGAGGATTAATAGATATACTATTAACCGTTGCAAAATAAAATGTATCTTCTGCTTGAAAAATGTTAGATTCTTCAAAGACTGTTCTTAACAGTTACTATAATCAGGCATATAGTGCTCTCCTAATTATACTGTAAGAATAAGTCAGTTTGAAAGATGTAACTGATTCCAATCATAATCTCTAACTCCATATGTAGGGAATCACATGCATCTCTTCTAACAGTAAAACTCTTCAGATCAGGTAAATATCTTCAGTGTGAGCACAAGAAGAACAAAAGTGGACTGTTTGCACAGAGACTGGTTTCTTGAAACTAAAAAAAAAAGGGACTTCTCAGAAATTACTGTTTACTAATATGATCCGTAAAGTAAATTTGAAGATTTGTCCCTAAAACACAAGTATATTTGAGGAATTATCTTTTCATAGGAAAGGCTATTTCTACTTTGATTTTGGGCAGAATGTATATCTAAAGAAATGTTATTACACAACACTTTTGTCAGGAAGATGTGGTTCAACAGAAAGACACGTTCAAAGGGAAAATGCAGTTCCTGTTTGCTGATAGTAGAACACAAACATATTTTGCTGCTTTCTCACACGTACCACAGTAAGGACAGCGAGGCAACTTTTGGAGTGGAAAGTTTTAAAATGTGAATTTTGGTTCCAGAAAGGCAAGTGTCCATATTAGCAACCTGACTGCACGATATGACTTGGAAAACAGGAACTTAGTTGGGTGACCTCCAATCAAAACAAACTAGTATCATTTCTTGTTTGAATATGAAAGTACTCTCAATGAAATGCCTACAAAAATCTACATTCCATTTATTATGTGTAGAAAATACTTGATGTCTTATTCAGAATAATTAAAAGGGAGAAAATTGTATTCTACTCATGGACATTTTGTGAACAGCAGAAGAGGATAATTCATTAATTGTTGCTGATGAAAAGCCGTCCCCTTTCAATACATTGTATTCTACTGCAAGCTGTTTAAAAGCTTTCACAAAAGGGAAAATGAAATAGAAAAAAATTATTTATTTTTGTAATTAGAAAGCATTATTTTAAAGTGCTCAACCCTTAAATGAGTAAGAGTGCTCTGCAGTCTTGACAAGTGACTGTTGCAGGTAGAGGAAGACTAATATAGAGCAGAAAGAATGAAGCAAGGTAGGAAGCTTTGGATTGATTTCAAAACACAAAGACTTCCCACATGAGGTAATGTGAAGTGTGCTTGACCTGTATTGTGACTCAGATTCCGATTTTAGGCACTACGCTTGCTGTGGTTTTCCATGTGTTTGACATTAATTTAATTTAGCATCTCCCAGTTGTTGCAAATTTAATCCAAGTCTTGTCTCACTTTATCAATGCTGAAGTTAGGTCACACTTCTGAGTTTTATGCTCCTGGATAAGCACTGGCACAAAGATTTGACAAAAAAAAAATTAAAAAAAATCCCTCCCTCCAAAGCATCCCAAGCTGTGCTGAATGTCATCTCAAGCCTCATGATGCTTGACCCCAAAGCATTATTACTTCAGAACATACTGTGTGATCTCAGTCTATGCAGTGGGCCTCCTTATTTTTGGGACGCTATGTTCATGAAGCTTCCCCAGTTCAGATAGCTCCAGAGATCTCAAGAATCTCGTGTCCTACTTTCACTTCTATATTAAAGTGGTGAATCTTGATGGTAGGATCCTCTTAAATGTGCATGTTTCTTACAATGTTTCTGAAGTGCAAGCAGTATATGATTTGAACATGTTAACAGAATGTCAAATGTAGCTGTATCCATCATATCGACATATGTTGCAACTTCTAGGTGTCCTCACACAAGCCAGAAACAAAAAGGTTGAACTTTCTAAATACCAGTTTATTTTTCTAAACTGCTTGTTCAAACTTGTTGTTTGAGTATGTAAAGACTGTGCTGTCTTTACATTTTACTTTGAAACATAATCTTTTACTCCCTGCCTTTTAACATCAAGTTCCAAGATTTTCTTAGAGCCAGGCAGAGCAGGAGAGACAGATGTGATGAACGTGCGGATACCAGGGAAGTGGTTTCCTTAGCAACAGTAACCAACTCCAAGCTTTTATAACTTACCCTCTCCCTACTCATGTACTCTTTATTTTTCTACTGCAATACAGAAATGTGGGCTTTCGACACCAACGATGCATTTAACCCAAATGCTCTCTAGTCAGCAGAGCACAGCAAAAGAAGAAAATACATGTGGGTTCCTCCCATCACCAGCATTAACAGGAGTTACTCAGCGTGATTCAAATTAGCTTTAGAGCATCTTGTTAGTCAAGCAGGTCAGGCAAACCATTTTGCTCTGATGGAGAAGCTTCAGCACTAACCTTTCCTATCATTCTCTGTTCTGTGACACATACCTCACCATCTTCCAGTGCCCAATTAGGTATTTAAACAGCAAGAAGAGGAAAAAAACCCACTAAGCTCTCTGGGCTAAGAAGGCAACATAAAACAATAATACCTAATTCTTACTTTGCATTTTTCTTTCCTAATTTCCAAATCGTCTGTAAGAGGTCTCATGCTTAAAAAGTATTATCTTAGAAGTTAGGAAACATAAGTATAGAAAGATTTAATGTCTTTTCAAAAGACCCTGAATTGATGGAGAGCAGAAATAGACATAACACATCACTTAGTTCTCTTCTAGTAGTACGTCTTACTCAGTGAATGTCCCTGGCTTCCTAATGCAGCCCTTGTCACACAAGATCTGCGATATAGCATACTGGGGAAAGTAAAAAATGTTTCCATCATTTATGTTTACATCAATATAACTAAAATGGGGGGTTTATATATATAATTGTAAAAGTCTGTGTCTTTTTGTAATGTAACAACAATAAAGGCATAGTAAAGCAGGGCTGTCCTCTTCTTTGTTTGAATTTTATGGTGATATATTCCACCCCATATTTTTTTTCCTGACAGTCAGAATTATTGTTTTGCCTGTGCTGGCATGCTATAAATATTAGATCAATCCTATAGGCTATAACTGAGATAGCTTTGTAGCTGTCATCAAGAGTGACAAATATGTTGGCAGGCTTTCCCTGACAGGCACTGGCAGAGCAAAATGCTTTTGCAGACAACAGAAAGTAACGGACTATTCTTTCAGCTGGGAGGTACCCTGTGCAGTGCAAAGACCGCATTGCACACTATGCATGATGGCCACTATCTTGGCTTCTACTCACCTAAGAGTCTATGGAGCTAGAAAGCAAGGCATTCTAGAGCCAGACTGAAACACAACTTGCTGGAGTTACATCTAATTCTGTGTAGGAATTTGTTGCAGTAAACAATTATGTCTCTGCTCCTGCAAACTGGTCCATATAAGTGAAGACCATACATATTTTTGAAACAAAAATTGTTTCAAGTGCATCAACTTTTACTTCTTTGCTGTTCTTGAAGAACTTTCTATTAATTTTATTTTCCCATATAAAAAAAAAATCACCTTAATTAATTCCTCAAATGTTTTGCCCAGTTTACAATTGAAGTCTGGAGAACTAAAGAAGATTCAATGTGTTCTGTCAAATAGAGTTCAAACAGCAATATGTCTAGGCTTCTTTGTCTTCCACCACCACCGCTATCATCATCTTGAGTGGAGATAGTTTACTGATTAGTGAATAAGTTGTCTCTGTACATTTACTTCTGCCTAACTTGTCATGACTGAAGAAAAAAACTACTTCCCCTTTTTGATAAGGGACGACCTTATCAAACCTAGGTGCTTTTTGGGCCTCACTGGGAAATCTTCTTGTGAGGTCATTTTTTAAAATACCATGTAGATAGATTGATTAGCTGTTTTATCAAATGCCTTTCTTCTAGAATTTCAGTGTTAGGACCAGGAGGTGTAACTGCCAAGTCTGACTTGCGGGAACAATTCCTTTAAGTAGTTAAATGAAGTAATGATTCTTTGCAGTTAGGTGAGATATGTATATATGATTTGCCAGAAAAGCAGTGAATAAAATAAACCATAACTAGCTGATTGCCTACACACAAACAATTAAGATTCTAAATTCCTGTATAAACATCTTTATAAGCTGATATTTTTGCATATTGCTTGCACTAGAACCAGTGAATTAAAAGTGGTTCAAGTCAAGGTACCCTACAAATTTGAAAACTGAGTTTACTTATAGAAAAGACTAATTCTACCTCTATCATCACAGTCCTACTTGTGAGTAGGGTCAGACAAGAACATTTCCATGAGATGTTCATCAATATTGAAGAGTTCCCTGGGAATGAAGCATTTGCAGCAAATAGCTGTCATTAGAGTGGGGAACCTGTCTTGAATTCAAGGCTTGAAGCATTGTGGGAAGATGCCTGTTCAATTTCATCTTAAGCAGTCAAAATATTTTTTTTTACAAATAATCTCCTGCATTACTGCACTCAGGCAGGCATTAATGTCTGATTTTTTTTTTTTTTTAATTTTATACAGTGCTATGCTATGTTACTTTTAGAATTTCTCATGGATTTTGGTCTGGTTTTTTGACAAAATCAGTGATTAATAACCTGGTATGTGTTGCAACGTCTCTGCATCCTCACAAAGGACATAAGGAAATGGAGTTTGGACACAAGGAAATGGAATGAAGTTCCATTGGGGAAGTTCAGATTGGACATTAGGAAAAAGTTCTTCAGTGAGAGGGTGGTCAGTCACTGGAACAGGCTCCCCAGGGAAGTGGTCATGGTACCAAGCCTGCCAAAGTTCAAGGAGCATCTGGATGATGCTCTTAGTCATATCATTTAGGTTTAGGTAGTTCTGTAAGGAGCAGGGTGTTGGATCCCATGATCCTTATGGGTCCCTTCCAACTCGAGATATTCTATGATTCTGTGATTCTGTGAAGGATAATGCTGTTTATACTGCTTTGGTTTTGAAGGTTTCATCTGCAACCTTGAGCTAAAGATATATATTTTAAAATAAAAATGGTTCCTCAGGACAGTAAGTGGCAGGTGGTATGCGCTTTCCACGCTAATTAATATGTCCCAATGGAAATACAAATTTCATAGACAGGAAAACCAGTATGGAACTGCCATTCTTTCTACTGAAGTACTTAAGTAAAAATATTTGCAGTGTCTTACCATTTTACTAAAAGAATATGTGAAATGATGGCTTTTTGTTCTACAGATGAGAATACCCTCTTTCACAGATGTAAATCACGTGGGGAAAGAAAATGCTGTAGAAAATAAGGGACAGCAAGACAGTTCTACATAAAATAGATTTGTCTCGAGTATTATCTCTTATTCTGCACATATTTTTATCCTGAACAAAAAAAAAAAAAAAAAGAAAAAACAGGAAAGAAGAAAAAGTATTAAAGGAGGTAAGCCCCTTCCTCTATGAAAGCTGATAAACTAAGAAAAACAAAAGCCTCTAACAGTTTGAATAAAGTGGGATGGAGTCAGAACAACAGAAGGTGGTATTTTCTGCAAGATAGTGATAAGCTTTTTCCTTAAAAATTGGAAACTTAATTCTTTGATAAGATGATCATGTATGCATATTGTGTAGGATAGTGATATAAAGTCCATGCAAAGTGGTACACTACTGAAAGATTGTAATAAATTATGTTACTTATAATTCTTTTTCATAAATATAGTAAATTTCAATGTTTAAAGGGTGTGAATGGTGGAAAGGGAAACCACTGTGTGAGATTTACTCACTCAGTGTTGACAGTAAACCTTTCCTGAAACATCTTCCTGCTTTTTTTAGTCCTGAAGCATTTTTTAATAACTGTTGCTAATCACAAGGAACCATGCTAGACAGTGTAATTTGGTTTATTGGTGTGGTAAATATCCTGAAGTTGATGAATGGCTAATGTGGAGGTATGAAAGTGGGCCAGGTTACTGCTCTCCAGTCTGGCTCTGCCTGCTCATTTTTGATAGATGGCCTCACTACCACAGATCTGCCAGCAAAGCTGTTGTGCTACTGCTCTCAAACCTATCTATCTCCATAAAAATGTAGGGTTAGTTACCAGGTTAGATAGGTTAGAGAAGCTGTCACTGGAGCCAGGTTAAAGAGCACTTGTGTGATAGCTTTGACCTCAGATTTCAGTGCTGATGAATTCTGCAGTGGGTGACACTGAGCTGTGAAGGGCAGGCCGGGGGATACTAGCTTTTCCTTACTGTTCTCAAAGCATTCACCTGTCTTCATCCTCACTATCCCATAACTTAAGTATGTTACCTTAAGAATGTACCTGAGTTGGTAGAACTGAAAGGGTAGATCTTCACCAATGTAACACCTCATCTCCTCGTGTCCTCTTTCAGGGACAGTATAAGCAGAAATAATTTTGTGTTTGAATCAGTTTTAGAGACTATAAAAATCTATAGCTTTTGGTCTTCAGGAAAAGGGCATTCATGTAAGTATTTCTCTATACTCACAATATTGGGAAAGTCTAACACTTAAACTGAATTTGGGATTGTTAAAAACCAGCTTTAATTAAGTGGGTATAGTTTTATACTGAAACTGACATTCTGCACCTGGAATTAACTGCTCTTCCTCCTCTCTCTTTCACTTGTTCCTCTACATCTCACCATAAAATACTTTTCTCTTTCTATGAAATATATTTCCACAGAAAAAGCTGTATATAACATTAAAGAACAGTTGAGAGATTAACAGGAGCACAGCCCTTTAGAAAACTGCGAAGCTATTCCTCACCTCCCTTCGGAGAATACAATGGACCATGACAATAACAAAGCCTTGTAATGAGTCAAATACTGCAAAAAGTATCTGAAATAATATTGATCTTTTGTCTGTCATGGCCAGAACTGCAGACATCCAAGTCAGGGCCAGAAGTGGCAACACCACACAGGAACTCCAAAGGGATGCCCTATTGAACGAAAGAGAAAAGCAGCACTGTAATATTGTAAAAATGATTAAAAGCTCACTATTAAAGTAAAACATATTTAAGGACGGCACTTTATCAAGTTAACTTGAAAATCACAGACAAGAATGTAACAGTGTCGGTACTTTATGATCTAAAGAATATCCTGTATTCAGTTAATAAACACAGTTGCAATTTTTTTTTTTTTTGTTAAAAAGTATTTAAATGTGCTCAGCACTCTATACAGTGTTAGCAAACACAGTTGTCATCATCAAACTATTGTCTCACATGCACTGTATAAGATTTGTAACAAGAAGATGTAAATGATCAGGACTAACATGGCATTACTGGCGGTGGTGGCTGACAAAGCTGTTGTTGAAACTACTCCACACTTGGCACATTTGAGCGTCAAACCGCTATGAGGCTCACTCATCTGACTGCAAACAAACAGAACACCCACAAAAAGAACAAAATATTGAATTGTCACCAAAAAACGTTGCTACTGAAATTTAGCTTTTAAATATGACGTCATGCAGAAAAAGTAAGTAGACTTATTCAGGATGAATGTTCTATGTTGTTGCAAAACTGTACTTTGTACTTTACATTATTGTTAGCTTTAAATGTTAATGCTATGGGGCTTCATTTCATGCAGACTCTATTTCTTCCATTTAAGCTAAAAAGGCCCCAAATGTCCAGTGATCAAAACTGCTCAGTACACTGAAGTAAACATAAGCACGTGCTAGGATAGACACACAAAGTGAAATCCCTCTATTCAGACCTGTTAAAACACTGTTGTATCCAAACTTGCTTGAGAAAGAGTATAGCACGCTTCAAGGAGGAGTATGAAGTATGTACAATTACAGATCATTAATAGGGAAACCGACCTGCAAAATGTATTCAAGCATCAGACCAGTATGGGCGTACTGTATAGTCAGATTTGTACTAATGATCTGAATGGGCCACTAACATCTGGAGTGATTTTATTCATGCCATATGAAGGTCTGAATACAGGGCTTGAAATGTATGGAATCTGATGAAATAAATATCAGTTGGTACTAAAAAAAGGGTGACCTGTTTTGCATTTTAATAAAACACAGTACACAAGCATTAAGCTCAAAACATTTTGTATGGACAATTGTACCTCAGTACCTGTCAGAAGACTTAAAGGGCAATTCCTGGAATTTAAATTTTCTTTTACATACAGCATGCATTCAACTTCCTGAGTTGACTAAAGGCTTTTGCTATTCCTTCTCTTTCTGCTATCAGAACCAGGAATAACCATAGCTGACTGAGATGCGACAGGAAGGGTGCTTTACCTATTCCCAGCTGGAAAGTGGTCAACATGGTGACGACAGGTAACACTTCAGGTTTTTTTCCCAGTTATTTCAACCAAGAGAACTCCTTTTTACTGCCAAACCCAGAATTCACAAGATTTTAAACGTACTGCTCAAAACAACATTGAACTCCAGTGGTTTCCATTTTTGATAAACCAAATGATAACTTTCCATAAAAAAGTGTGGTATATTTTCCATAAAAATGCAGGTTTTCCATAAAAAAGCAGTGAGAACCATGACTTCTATAAGGTGATTGTGGGGTTTGAAAAGAACTCAGTGACTCCACATCAGTTTACACCAATTAAAAATCTACATTAATGAATGAACTGGAAAAATACCTTGGGTAAGCTTAACCTAAGCTTGGGAAAATACTTTCTGTCTTTGCTTGGCAATACTGCAACGTTATCCAACTGGATTATTCTCTTTACCTCTATAGATTTGTTCTGGATCTTGCAAATAATAGAACTTGATGTGTATATAGACCAAATGTAATCTTTCTGGCTGGGCATAAATGTGTGCTACCCCTTATCCCAGAAAGTGATTGATAACCATCAAGACACTTGTTGATTCTCCATTTGCTTATTAAGGTGGAAAAAACACCATGGAGTTAGTATATTTTGCCTCATTCACTGCTTTAAATTCTATATAAATGATTTCTACAGCCAAACTTTTGACTGAACTTTTGACAAGTATAAGTCCAATGTTTGCCAGAAAGAATAAAGTTCTCTTCCTGAGCATGGCTGGCAAGAGATATTTGAGAAATGAGTGACAATTCCCTTTCTACTGGAGGTTAAATGCTGCACCAATTTATATGCCCCAAAGAATGACTCAAGACTTTTCATCTACCAACTAGTATCAAGGAATGCTGTTGCCAAGCCACCATCTCATACTATCGCAAAAGTTAAGATTGTTTCTTGATAAGGGCATCTACATGTTTTCCCAGAATAGCTGGATTCTTTCTGACAGGGTAATTTCTAGTTCTTTATCCATTTACTTTAAAATACCTCTTTACTAAGTTGTGCACTGTTATAAAGCAAGTTATTTGTTTAATCAGGAAAATATACTATAAGCAAATAGATTTCTGTAGCTGACAATTGAGTAGCTGGAAAAAAATATGCAGTTAAATCTAAGCTTGGATATGGTTAGAACATGTACAAAGCCAAACCTGTGGCTGCTCCAACACCTTAAATCACTGGAATTAGAGCAGATATGAATTTGGTGATTGCTAAGTTATTACTACTCTTGAAATAATTTGTGTAGTTTTATAATATTCTAGATTTCATCAGTGTTATTACACAATTAAGAATGTTGGTGGAGCAATCTAGACAAAAGTAAGGTTAAGAGATTAATACTTTATAATGAAAAAAGGGGAAAAGAGAAGAAAAAAATGAAAGCTTTTGGTACATATTTGTCAGAATAATGGTGAAAGAGCTGAAAACCAGAAAGATTTAATTGAATTAATATTAAATGCAGATCACACCAGCTGAAGTACTTATCATAGATTTGCTCACCTAACCAATAAATTGAACTTATTAAGGATGCAACTGTTAGTGAAATGGTAAAATAATTCAAAGTGAAGCTGTAATAAATTTACCCATAGCAGTAATACACAGTAAAATAAAGATGTCATTGCTTATCGTTGCTAGAAATGCAGATATTGGTGGCGTTAACTACAAGCTGGCCCAAAAAACAATACTAGAACATGTACCTGTAAAAAATCATTATGCAAACTTTAAATATACATTCATAAGCACTAAGAAGGTGATGATGCACTTGCGAAATATTTTTCTCCAATACGGAATGAATCTAGGATTGCTGCTGCAGTACTTCAAATCATTGTCATCCAGTGAAAAAGAGTTTCTGATACCACCACTGTCATAATCTTTTCTTCTCATGATAACAAACAGAATTTGAATGTAAATGCAAGTAAATAATCAGTAACACAGAAGTTCCAGTTACCTTTTTTCTTTTTTTTTGCTTTTAAAGCATGGTTTTTTACTTCAAAATTCTGTTACACTAATTTAGAACATACATCTATGTAGATATGGGTGTAACAACAAAGGCAAATTCTTCACATAGTCAGAATGGCAGAATAGCATTGACCTCAGTAAGGGATATATTGCTGTAAAATATATTTTAGAACAGTTTACATAAATGAGTAACATTTCCCACCATAGTAATTGAAGTTGACAGCTAGAGAAAAATAATCGGTTCCTTTAGTACACACAGTTCATAAAACTGTTTTCCTAACTGCAACAACTTTACATGTGTGACAGTCTTGTGAAACCTCCACTCAGATTTGTTTAATCCTCATTATTATTAACTTAATACTGTTGTACTTGTGTTTTATTATGTTTAGTTTGTTTAGTTGCATTCCCTCAGGATAATGCAACAGCAGCTTTTGAGATGAATGGAATCTGTTAGACACACTGTTACACTGATATAAAGGTTCAAAGCACAATCAAAAGCATTTTTGGTGAATATCTGTAATTGAAAATTGGTGATTCAATTTTAATATGCTTTAAAATAACCCAATTGTTGCTTACCCCGCTCTGTGTTTGAGCTTTTTATCTAGGATTCCATCTCTGGAAACAAGTTTATTAAATACCAAAATGCCAATCACCATGTTGACCTGTCAAACAGAAAACAAACAGTCGATCTTTCAGTGCCTGAAAGAATATACTTTACCCTGTTATTTCACAAAAAGGTTCTTACAGGCCTGCAAAATGCCTCCTGTTACATTTCTGAGTATTCCAGCAGAAATTGTGTAACATTATCCCTGAGCACACTAAAAGTCTGTGTTCTCAAATGGGTAACACATAAGCACACAACAACAGGCTTATTTTTGAATCTTGAATTGTGCCTGGTATCAAGTTATATAGGTACATGTCTGCTGGCCAGAAGCTGGAGTAACATAGCTGTAATATTTCCTCAGTTTTAATTGCAATGATATATCCTATTCCAGGAAAACCACTGCATTTGAGTTGTGCACACAGGGAATAGCTGGACAAAGCACATGATGACTGTAACTGTGTTCCTTTTTAAGCACTTATGGCCCATGTGGGTGTTCCCACTTATGCAGAACCAGCCTGTGGTTTTCCATATCCTCCTGCACATTAGTCATTGTCTATGTCATTCATCAGAGTGCCAGTCTTGAGCCTTGTTTGACTGCAGTTTCCTTTTTTTTTTGTGGGCCAGAGGGATGCCTGGGGTTAATGTTCCATTAAAGTAAATGGTGTTATGATCACACACATGGGTTGAAGACCTAACCTAAAAAAAAATTCAAGTATTTCAGCAGTCAGACTTTGGCACTCAATGGACATACTAATGGTATTTAATGGACAACTTAATGACTGTTATTATCCATTTGTATTATTGAACTGAACTCTATGAACCAGCCTCTGCATGGCCTACAAAGAGGTAATACCAAGTTTTGAATCTATTAAATAAATGTTCCTTATTTTTTTTATTAGAAAAGGGTAATCCTTTTTTCCTTTCAAACAGATTTTTCAAGACCTGTGCCAAAATACCTAATTGTTGCCAGTCTGTCCTGCCAACTCTTTTCCAGCTTTTCTTATTATCACTTTATTTTCAGCATTTACATTTTTCAGCTGATGTTATATAATTCTTTTGCTTCGTACACTTAGGCTTAAGTGGTTGCATGGAACAGCTCCTTCCACAGCTACTAGCTAATGGTAGGGCAAACTGCGACTGTGAGCTTCAAACATCTCTGAACAAAGCTTGCCAATTACACAGAGAACATACAGTTCCATGTGAAAATTAGATGGGCTTTCTGTAAACATCCTTGGCTCCCCTATCATGACAGGGACTGTGAGTGGTACAACAGGATCCTGGCTTGACTCCAGGCAATGATGAGACAAACTCTATGGGAGCCGTAAACATCCATTTCAGGAAAATCTATGTAGCTAAATGGTCGTATCTTTGAAGACTAGTAAGACTGATTCCCTTTTGCAAGGGAAAATCAGAAATAGCCAATGTTGATAGAGCTATCCTGGTATAGAATTGTTGGAGTAGAAAGAAGAATTAGCTTCAAAATCTGTAAGGGAAGAATGCTAAACAAATTATTGTAAAAAATCCATACAGACTGCAGAGCAGATGACTGATAGGTGATGGCACTTGTAGGGTGCAATTCATCTTACCCTAAAATAGACACCTGAAATACTTCTGATGGTTTGAGCCCTAAAAGTACATATTTTTCTCCACTGACAATGAAATATGGCTGGGATAACTAGCTTAGATGCAGAAATCTACATTGCAAATGTCTACAATTAGGCAAAGTGAATCCTACACCTAAATGCATTTCCAGGGATGTGGAAGATTAATACACAAACGAGTAGCATTTCCCAGCTATGATGATTTTTTTCTTTGCCTTCAAAAGCAGTAGCCATGGAGAACTTGCTGGCTGGTTCCACTCCTCCTGTTGCTTTTGCTGGCACAGCGCCACGCTGCCAAGCAGCACTCTATCAAGACTGTCACTGAACTTCACAAGGCAGTGACAATTGCATAGATGCTACTGATAATAACTCAGTGATGTCTGTAACAAGTTTTCTGTGCCCCTAATCAGTACATTATTCTTTCGCAGCTTACTTTGTAAATATGGAAAGATAACTGGTATAAAGAAGTGATACAATTAAATGAATCATTCAAAATACTGAAGGTATGTTAGACAGTACTGAGCTCAGCATTTACAGCAAAATGTAATGCTACTGTATAACTAAGCTTTTATAATTTAAATAGCACATTCCATCATTTCATATGAAAATACTGGAAATTATATTAATGTTTACCAGGACAACAGCAGCTGCAGGTCCAACGAAAGCGTAAAGTAGCCCTCCTTCAAGAGACAGCCAACAGCTGGAAAGAACATTAGAGAAGAACTAACACAAATTAAAAATGAGTATAATGCATTGCCAAGAAAGCTTTAATAATTACTACAGCATGAGATTCTTCCAGGGTATGTTCAATCCTACATACAGAGATTCATACACACAAAAAAAAATTACTTTGTTGATACGATGTACAGAGTTGAAAGTTATTTCCATTACCAATTGTTAATGTTTCAAAAGTTTTAATGTGAATTATACATATACTGAAATGACTAAAATGTATTAAGAGCACCACAAAAAATAAGTTTGCAAATCTTTATTAAATCTCCTCTAACCGTGTATGATGAGTTAACTGAACAGGACTTGCCAGGTAGGTATCTAGAAATATTTCCAGTTTGCAATGTCTGATGGTTCTATACTTAAATCAATGAAAGGTCAAGTACCTGTAATGTAGAACTTCAGAGAAAACAAGTTTCTACATATCTCCTTTTATGTTCTTTAGTAATGGCTATTAGAACTAGGTCTTACAGGCAATATTCCCATTAAAGAAAAATCAAATATGATCTGTTTTGCATTCTCTGGAATATTTTGCAAACAATTTAAATGTATATTTTGAAGCATCTGAAAACTGTATTTTCTGGTGAGCTACTAATCTTGCAGAGTTTGTCATACTGCATCAGGGCTTTCACTGAAAACCATCAGATTTCCAAACACAGACTGCTTACAGAATCAAATCCTAAATATTTGATAAACCATGATGTAAAGCTTTCCGTATCTGCAAAAGATCAGGAGCTTCACACACTGAAGTAAATGCAGCTGTGCTATCTTCTTGGTGATTACACATTGAAAGAACTACATGTTTATTTGAATGCATGATCACACCTACATATAAGAAAACTCAAGTATATGTATTCAAATAATTTACTTGGATCTCACATCCAGAAACATTCACATCAAAATCATACATATCTTCTTTATTTTCCAGTACTGTTTTTGGACTTTTGAAAACCAAGTAAATGAAATGCAAGCACATCATAATATTAATGGTCTCTTACGTCTGGAATTCTGTAATGGCCAGCTACACATGTATATATATATATGTGTGTGTGTGTGTGTGTGGCAGGAATGTACAGTAATATAATTGTCTAATAATTAGGACTAAAAGAAACAGAAATTGGAGACAGTTGATCACAGAATTGTTTTGAGTGTGAGCAATTCAAGCCACCCCCATCAGTCATATACCATATGAAACTGAGATCTGCTTCAAAGATCCTTGGGCCTTTTTCCCTTCCATCAATTTCTTCATATGTGGGACTATGGGACTGGAATCAATTCTCTCATTTTCACTCTTAATTTTCTCCATTTGAAACCGTCATTTTCAAAAATAGCATCTTACAGACCAGGAATAGTTTGCAACAAAATGCATTTCTGATGGCAGCATGTGTGTAATTGATTGCAGCCAAACAGGCCAAATATAGCGTAAGCAGTTAAAAAACTTACATAAGTGCTTTAGTTATGGGAGGAGGAACAGGACAGGAGCTCTGCTTTTACACTGCCCAACAGTTGTTACGGGACACAATTCTTTGCTGGCTTCTGAGGGGGGGACAGCATATCAGCTGGTGATGGAGGAAGAATCTCCATTCCTTGCATTCCATTTTCCTTATGTAATTCTGATGTCAGATGCCAAGAAAATGTATTTGCAAATAAGATGAGAAAGCTACATTATGGTTCTGTTTGTCCCTTGTACTCTCCCTTTGTGCTTTTGTCTCACAGTACCATGTGAGCTGAATTTGGATCCTGGGAGAGGAGCTGTTATATGTAGAGAGACCTGCTCTTTTTTACTTTCCAGGTTACCCTTAATGAATGATTTGTTGCTTTGTTTGAATATTGCAGTATATCGTCTTTTAAAAATGCATTCAGCCCAGGAAGGAAGCAGAAAGCAACACTAACTAAAGCAAGTAGTCACACATTAATAATTTCAATATAGTAAATGTAATGGGATTGATCCTGCAAGAGCTACATCCCCAATGGGGTCTGGACATTGTAATCTTGTGATTTGTAATTCTCACAGCCTAAATGGTTCTCCGGTCCTGGTTCAAGGACTAAATAATAAAAAATACCAGCAAGATGAGCACTTATTAGTTAGAAAAAATGTCAGAGGAGCAGGTCCTCAATATGGCTCCCAAAAGATGGCTTAAGACTGTTGTTTCGCTAATGATTGCCAGCTATAAGTGCAAGTTAAGCACTTCAGTTAGTTAAGCCATTCCTCATTAAAAAAATGCAAGGCACACGTTGTCACAATTTAAAACTAAAGAGTTCAGTGGTCAGAGCTGGTATTCAGGAGGACATTTGTTTTTGATCCTTACCCACCCAGAGCTGGAGCAAGGGCTTGAAGCCTTCCCTGCCATTTGTCAAGATGGTGGGACACACAGGGCAGGGAGGGGGAATCCTGATATCACTCAGTAATGATGCTAAGGAGAATAATTAAATATTCATTGAAGCGAGGACTTGACCTAACTCATCCACATCTCTGATGAATGCCCTCATTACCAAGCTACAGAGTCATATTTCCTCTTTCTGTCCAGATGCATACTTAATTTCTTAGGCAACGTGAGGAGAGCTCCAAACAGGACGACTGAAGGAAATGCACTCTCGCATACATAACATCTTGATGGTTGGAGCGGTCTGCTGGCAGGAGGGAGGCTCAGCCCAAGCTCTTTATTCAACAGGAGACAATCAAGGGGCAGCCTTGCTGAGAAGTGAATTTTCCAGATTGCTAAATATGCGCTGGAACCAGCCAGGTGGCTAAACAGGAACTGTATTAATAAAATGTAAATGAAGTACACAGATCTCTTCTTCACTGTTGCTCAAGTACAGCCCAGTCCAGGAAATGGGCTGGATCAGGCACTCCAGGAGAGAGGGAATGTATGGGAGAGCTATTTTGAGATTTCTGCAGGGCTTTGGCTCCAAGCACCTCAGGAGAATTAAGCTGAGGTACATGCTTGGTGGGCAGAAACCTGGGTGCCTAAGAGGCTCTTGCCAGTACTGTTTTAGACATGTTTGGAGGTTGACAAAGGCTAGCCATAACATTTAACATTCTCTTTGGTAAATGTATATAAATGTTAGGTGTCTAAGTGGACATAATCCTCAGTGTTTCTAAAAGGCTTGCTAGTTCAAAACCTCACAAGAAATCCAGGATCCATGGCACTTTGCTGAGCTCAGTCCAAGACTGGCATATGGTTTTCTCTTTGTTCTTTTGCAGACCACTCAGTGACTCTTAGGGCAGTTCCAAGTGTGAATGGATATCTGTAGAGCCTTTAGACTATGCTATGTAATTCCCGATGGATATGACGGTCTTGTTAATTAAAAACATAATTTGTCATTTCAGATTGACTTACTAGTGGGCTGTTCCATATCCTTTTGTCTTGGTAAAGCCTATTGATATTGCAACCACTAATGCTGGTAAACCTGAAAAAAACCCAAAACAGTAATAACCATTAGATGCTGAGCAAAATATTGCTGTTCTGCCTGGACAAAAAAATGACAGGGCAAGCTAATGCAAAGTGGCCAATTTTACATGGAATGAATCATTTAATGAAGCACAGTGCTACTGCAGAATTTGTTTTTCTGAAGCACTGGCAGGGAGGACGACACTGTTTTCTGCCCACGGTGTACCACTTTGATGTAGCTAAATTACTGGTACATTTGACAGGTCTTAAAGTGAACTAGAAAGAGGCTTCATGAATATTCAGTGAATGTTTTTTCTTGTTTTATTTTGATTTCTTGATATTACACTACTTTGCCAAAAATCTTCTAAAATTTTGTTAAAACATATTTATAAAAGAATGCTAAAACATAGACCACCATAGCTTGAGCTTGAGATAAAGTAGAAAGGCTCCTAACGTCATTTTCTTTTTAGTAATGTGCTGTCTACTATCTTTCAGATTTACTGAAGAAAATTATTATATTCTTGACATTGTCATTGCATTAAATGTTTAATTCCAATGATTCTGAGGAAATGAATTTTAGGGACTTACCCCATCCAAGGCACAGGAAACGTTTCCTTATGAGTCGTGTCCTAATTTTTCCAGTAACAGCCATATATGACTGCCACGCTTCTGTCAAAACCCAACAGAATGAAGCTAAGAAGAAGAAGTGTAAAAATGCGGTGGTTGTGGTGCAGATGCCCTGCAGGGAGCAAAGAGAAGCTCATGCTGAATACTTAGGAACACTCATTTCTCTTTTCAGTTCAAAAAGTTGTCGTATTCTATCATCTTGACCTTTATCCTTAGCATCAACTCCCCCTTTGTCATGTGGTGGCCACAGAGAGAGAAAGAAAGAGAGATGTTGATGGGGATTAGGCAGAAGAGGTTTTGACTGTTTGCCCAAACACTGAGTGTGCTGAGCAGGGACAAAGAACACAAAATAAATCATGCCACCAGCTTTTTCTCTACACATTTACTTTGACCAGGGATCATCATAAAGCCATTGTAGTAAGCAAGTTACAAAGCTGCTCATTATAAAATCTCACAGAGCTGAATAAAGAAAATGTGGGGATATAAATGCTCCTAATTGCCAGTTATATTTTCTTTCCACCCATGCAGAAAGTTCCTGACTGTAAATCTGAGTTTTAGTCAATAGATTGTTTGATTTATTTAATTTTTTATTTAAATCGTATAGAACATTAACCTATTGGAATATACTGCCTGAGATCTTTTTAGTCAGGTTTAAGTATCATAACCTTAACAATTACCCTGGATATTGTTTTTATGGGTGTCAGTCATCTGTCATCTGAAAAGTATTTTGAGCACATGTAATCGGCTTTCTTTTGTCACTATAGCCCTTAATTAAACTTGACATTGTAGCTTATATAAATGAGCTTCTTGGCATAAATGATGATCTACCCTCCACTGTGTTGCTTAAAATGCCAGTTGCAGGCTATAAAATGCAGCATGCTTTGTACCCCAGAACCAAACCCACACAGTAATGTTGAGAATATCCTTATCAATTTATCCTTATCACAATTTGAAGTGTCAAAATTATATCAAGGTTAAAAAAAAATATTTCACACACCCAATATAACAATGCAAGATCATAGCTGAGAAAAGTAGATATTATTTTTATGATTATTTGTTTTTGCAGCATACACGTCTAATAGCTATCTTACATGCATGTAATAAAAGGCTAGTCAATTTTTTTTACTAAAATCCCAGTTCAGCAAAACTGAGAATTTTAGGGAGAAAATATGTAAGTTCCTAATTATATATAGATACTTGCATACATTGTTGAATCAAGGCTGGTAGCTACAAAAAGTTGGGAAGGATAAGATATATATGACAACACATATATTTTTAGTTCTTTTTATATTCCTAATTACTTTCAGGTCTTTTTGTTTTGAATTTCCTATTGTGTTAATTTTCCCAGATTCTTATCTGAAATCAGTTGTGTTGGTTCACTCCAATAGTTATCTCAAATACATAGCTGATAACTGATACCAGCTGAATACTAACACTAGCTGATACCAACCTCTGAACTTTCAAAAAGTTATGCACTTGAAGAGTCAAAACTTAACGATTTCCTGCTATGAATTTACAGATGTGACAAACACCTTGTTCTCTAATCCTGGGTCAAATTGTCTATTTAAATCTGGGGGAAAGGGGTTCTACATAATTATATGTAAGAGAACTATTGTTTATTTTTTAAAAGCGAGGAATGTAAACTGGAAAAAACAGCAGATCCCGAAAAGGCACTTGTCATTCCAGCCTAGATTTTACCATTAATTCTTATGGATAGATGTCCCTAAAGTATGTGGATTCATAAAATCTATCCTAGTAAAGCCTGACTATACCAGTATTTCCTGTATATGAAAAATAAATACTTATTTAAAATGAAAGCTATGCAATGAAACACTCAATAAATATAACAGAAAATACAGAAATGTCCTTTCTTTTACTAGCTGGCTCATACGTTATAGATTCCCACTCTAGAACTTTAATTTGCTTTCCTATCAATGTTTTTGTAAAAGCTAGCATGTTCTGTTGGAACAAGAATTTGACAATAAAATGACTTTTGAGGAATAGTACAGAATCTTCTAGGGAGAAACTGCATAGGTAAAACACAGTATTACCCTCAAAAAAAAAAAGAATATACTATTTCCCTTATAAATAATGTAAATACAAACATATCCTGATTTTTTTTTGTGAAAACATTGCTAAGTCTTATGGCTGACTGAGTACAGACTGTAGGATTTAGTTCATAATTTATCCCCTTTATTGAAAGAAAGATGATGATAATCTGAGACAAATGCGAACATGGCTGTTGTGGAAGAAAAAACTGTCATGAAAAAGTTAATGATCATGTTGATCCCAAAATGAGAAGACAGAAGCAAGTTTTATTAGAAGCGATCTGTGCTCTAGCTGGAATATATGACTGCTGATTATAACTAACTCTTCTGCATGGCTGACAGGGGTCTTTAATGAACACCGATGGTAAGTTCGTACCGCTGATATAACAGTATATCTGCATCCCTTGCCATCAGAAAGATGCAAATCAGCCTCAAAACATCACCTAACAACTGCTGTGGGATCGTGAGGACAGAATCAGGTGCAGGCAGTGCTTGAAGTGAATTGAGCGTCCCTCCTTCCCCAGCCAGAGAAGCAGTCCTGGCAAATGAAACTCCCCTCTCCCAGGTATAGCCATGGGCTCAGCACGGTTGACCAATACCCCCCCTGGAAATCTGGCTTTTATGTACTTCTGTATTCTTCCCCTTTGATAAACAAATAAACATACAATGCTGTTCTGTCTGGGAAAGCGCTGTATCTGGGAAGTCTATTTCCAAATAGGAACAAAAATTCATTTTCACCAAAGGTTGTTATTAAATGGGGCATTGAGTATGTCTAGCCAAGGAGCCATAATTTAGCAAGTACTTTATTAGCATTTTTTATTTTCTCACCAGGTCATGGACTACTCCCAATCTCTCCTTCTCCCTCTCCTCTTCTCCCTTGCCAAGGGACGACCACCTCCTGTCAGCTTGCTGCACATGCAGCAGCATCACTAAAAACTTGTAGCCCATCACTCACAGAAAGCCCCAGTGTGTCAACCTGTCTGCACCAAGAGATAGTGGGACACATTTTTTCCGTTGCTTTAGGAGGAGGTGTTTCTTATTTGTTTCTAATTCTAGTTTATTAAAACCCACTGAATTAATTACCTGTGCTGAGCACCTGTCAACTTGCAACAAAATTAATTTTAACAGCTTAATTTATTCATTATTTCTTCAAGCTTCTGAAATTAACTCAACTCTGTTACTCTAACTTCCTCTTTCTCCCATTGCTGTTGCTCTCAGCTCCCCATATTGAATTCTAATTAAAAGTGGGGGAAGGGAATTTTTCTGTCCTCAGAATGACAATTTCATGAGCTTTAATTGAGCTTCAAGTGTTTAGCTACCTTGAATATCTAAGTAAGACCATTCATTCCTTTCTAATAAACAATACACTACTGAAAGCAAGAGCTCACATCAGGTACCAAGTTCTTCCTTTCTTTCATTCTTGTAAGACACCCATTCTGAATGAGGGTACTGAAGCACAGCTGAGAAATGTAAAAACCTGTGCAAATTCAAAACTACTTACTCTAGCCATTAATATTTTTAATGTAATAATGATGAATAATATAGAGAACATTTATCCATTTTTATGACCTACAAAAAATAGGTCATAAATGCAACCTCAAAATAATAATTTATTATTATTTTTGGAGCAACTGGTCATTGGGTTTTTTTTTAATAGAACAGTGTTCTTTTTTAATAGCAGTGTGAACTGATCTTCCACACAAAGACAAAGAAGGTTTTGTAAGGACACCTGATTTGTCTTCTTGACCGGGAACAGGTTCTTTTTCCTTCAACAAACTAGTTGCCTGTCTGCGGGTTCTGACAAATAGTATAAGAATCAAAGCTACTGGAAAATGAACATGAAAAACGAAATCTGTATTGGTGATAGCAAAATGAATAGGGCTAAAATACAATCAGCTGGATTATGTCATGAAGTAGAAATGGAAGCCTGTAGAAAATCATTTAAATAATAAAATTTCTTGGAGACTAAAAAAAAATCTTGCCCTTGATTTAGCTCTGAGGAGATAAGCCGAAGGAGATAAATTAAATGGGTGCTAATTTTATTCTTATGAAGTTCTGACCATGCACTGAATACACAGAGAAAGAGCACTTGAAGACCTCAATAGAGAATAAATGAAACAAAGAATAAATGAAACAAAGAACAAACAAAACAAAGAGAACGCAGAGGACATAGCAAAGAGCAGAAATATAATTCTATGTCAAATCTGGTATATTTTATTGGCTTTTTGTGACTCTCAAGTCCTCAACTATAAAACAGTTTATCTTTTCCTTCTTTAAATTAAAAATATAGATTCATAAAGGAACATGCTGTTTATTATTCTTTATTTGCTTTTTTATTATTATTTATTCTTAAACTGATTTGCACAGTACAGTACCTTTGTCTTAGGAATGCCAGACACTGTCAGAATACAGGGATACATTATACTGGTCAGATAAAACTGAATTCTAGATTAAATACTTATTTCTAGAGTAAACTGCCATAAAATAGTGGATGGACTTTCAGAGGCTGTGGGACAAAGAAGTAAGGGCTTGCATCTCAGCAGTGTTTTTCTAGAAGGGGCACAGATTTTCAATGGCAAAAAAAATATGGCAAGGAAGGCTGCCTCTTCAGTGGCAAATATATTTGAAACATAGAATTTTAAACACCTGAGGAATCATAGCTGTAGACTTTCAGGTTTCTCTTCCAGGTTAATTAATATTACTGGCACCAGAAAGCTTTGAAGCTTGGAAGATACCATTTAAAAAATCCTGTTTTTTTCTTTTGCCAGGCTCGAGTACTGCTAACAAAACTTGTTCAAGCAAAGAATTCAGGAAATCTGATACCCATAATGAAAATAACACTATAGTGGAAAGAATGGCCCTAAAATAATGTTATTCATGTTTTAAACCAACAGCTATGAAACTATTTACTTTAATTAACTTATAGACAAACTTTTAGATCTTCTAAAAATCTTCTCTGGTGTCCTTAAAAGTTGAAGGCTCAAGTGGTTTAACTTCATTACATTGTGTTCTGATATCTGATATGATAATCAAAAATAATTAGCATTTGACTTCATGAGCATTT